CGACCCACGAGGGCGAGAAAAGGAGCGAGGGCGTCTCGGCCGTGGTTTTTCCAGGGTTGCAAGTGACTGCGCGATGCGCTGGACCTCGTCGCGCAGGGCTCTGAATTCCGTGAAGGAAACCAGGTTCTTTACTTCGTTTAAGGCTGGAAGCGTTTGAACCGAGCTGTCGATGGCAGAGATGCTGGGTGACGCAACTTCCACTACCCTATCCGCCAGGGCTGCGAGATCTTGAAGCGTCATGTCTCCGGCACCCGCCAACACCATGCACACATTAGCTGGTAGGCGCTGCAAAAACAACTGCCGAAGGAGCGAGTCGTCGACCGTCGAAGCTTTCTCCCCGAGCAGCTGGCGCATCCCCCGGAGTAACTGGGACGGTTTTCGGTCCCCCAGGTCCTCCGCAGTCAGGAGCTGTTGCAGGCGCTTCTGCTCGGAGAGGGTGGTGCGGCGGACGAGCTCGAGTTTCAGCCGGTCGAATGGCTGGTCGGCTGGGGGAGAGAGTATGATGTCGCGCACCTCCGCCGCTTCCGTTGGGTTGAGGGCGGCGATTACGTGGTGGAATTTCGTTTGTTGGGAGGTTATACGTCTCGTCGCAAATTGGGCTTCAACTTGCGCGAACCAGAGGGCTGGGTCCGCCGGCCAGAAGCACGGAAGTTTGAGAGCGACGGTGGAGACGGTGGGGGAAAGCGGTGCCTGGGCGGCCGTGTCAGCCGCGGAACCGTTGGTGGAAGTCATGTTTGATCACCGGTGGTTGCTTGGGGTCGTGTGACCGAGGTGTGCTGCCTGGAACTCCGGGTCACCAATTATGTAGGGGAGATGTCCGGTACATAAAACTATTTATTATACTTGACTACACAAGGTACAGCAATACATGAGCGCGTTGGCCCCGGTGCGGGCGTGTCTCTCCGATCCCGAAAGTGTAACTCGAAACTGTTTACTCAAACGCCCTCGCCCTCCGGCGGCTTTGGATTTTGGATTTGGATTTAGTGGCGTCCCTTTGTAACGGGTGGCCGCTCGCCGGAAGTTCCGGCGATGGCCTGCCAAAAAAAGAAAAAAAAGGCTTGCTTAGTCTGGTTTCTACACTCTAAGAAAAAGTGAGCACCCCCCCTTGTCATCGTGCGTTTTGACGGCTGTAACTACCCCACAGGCTTACGTAACTACCCACTGGGCTCGAGCCGTTGAGAGTTAGCACCCTGTTGGAAGGTGACAAGCATGGGGTAGTCACGTTTTATAAACTCTTGATTTGAATATTCAAGTGCATGCAGTCGTTTAATAGTAAAAGTCACTTCAAAAATCTCAAAAAGTACTTAAAACTTGTTTTCTTTGTGCGTTGGTTATTATTTATTCAAATTTAAACCGCTCGAAACAAGCGTGTGGCTTATTTCGCCTAAACTGGCAGAAAACAAACAAGTACAGGCAACATTGGTACGCACCTACTAAAACCCGAGGCAGATAAAAAGTATCGCGGTTGTCCTTTTTGGTTCCGTCGCGGGTTTTACCATGTACAACAGTAAACAACAGCTGGCAGCTGGCGTCGTGCTCGAGAAATTTAACCAAATCTCTAGAAAAGCACAGAAAGCTACGCACAGGCGTGAGTTGACTTGAATGTTCGTCGGACGAGATACTCTTGTCGTCTTTTATTGTGCGGTTCAGTAAAGAGCGTGCTCTCAATAAAGGTGTGATCGGTCAGTTCTGCGTGCAGTTCAGTTGCAAATGGCCTCCTCGGTTCCGCCCAACTTGCGCTCCTGTCCTACCCAATTTTTTTGCTTGCAAGTGCAGTGAAGTATGAAGCATTGCACACCACGACTCAGGCCGGACAGCACGAACCTACACAGATATCTGCGATCATGTTCGTGTGTTTCACTATTTCTCTGTCTCGGGATACATGATTCACCTTCACTGGCTCATTTGGCACATTTCATCGAGCATACTCGATAAAAAAAAAAGCTCAAACAAGTGTGTGTCATCCAAGGCGGAGTACTTCGAAAGGGACTAGGATTTCAGGCCTTCCAGCACGCGTTCCTTTTATCTATATAAAAGATTCCAAGTAAATTAATTTCCAAAAATAAGGCATTGGCAAACATATACGCGCTATTTGTTTTAGATTTTTTTTTTTAGAAAAAGTATTGCTGGAGACGACAGCAGGTGCAGCGCAGAGAATGATGTTTTCGGCGTTCTTTGATGCTCAACAGCTCATTCACACTGGAAGCGGATCCGCATTCGCAAAGCGGTTGTGAGCGCGGTTGTACAAAGATCCAGTCCAATTGCACGCACACTTGACGTCATGGAGTGCGCGTGCAATCGTACTGGATATTTATACAACCGCGTTTGCAACCGCTTTGCAAACGCGGATCCGCTTCCAGTGTGAATGAGCGGTAAGGCCGGTCCAGACACTTGCGTTTGAATGAGTTTGACAGCTTTGCGTCGAGAACCGAAAGCGACTCACCGGCACGACTGTGCTTCGTATGAAGCGTGGAATCCAATTCAAGGAATCATCTTGGCACGCGATGAAAGCAGCAGGGATGCCCTGGTTTCTCGCTGCCGCAACGCAGTCAGACGCAGTCAAACGCCACTGTCTGAACCAGGCTTTAGATAATTTAGCATACGTATTTCGCGTTCGTTGCAGGTGAAGGCACGGGCCCGAAAGCGGCAATTCTGCACTGTCCTCTTGGCGCGAGCGCGAGCGCATAGAACGCATATTTGAAAGACACGCGCTTAAGCAAAAACAATTGTAGCGAAAAGAAGAAAACTGAAACAACGTTTCGGAAAGGACCGGCGGACGGGCTTCGCCAGAATTAGAGCACTATATAGCTCCTACGGAGCAGAGTAGCGCAATCCTTTGAACCTCGTGTTTTGCCGACAAGATGGCCGACAGAGCGGCTTGGCGCGAGTCACGTGGTACTCAGGGTTCCAAGAGGCGGCCCGCCCTATGGGAGAATACATGGAGATCGATACAACACGGCTGATTAAAAAATGAACGGCGAGTTCACACTTTTCAAAACTAGTCTGTCGTGAAGTTAGTAAAGCACTAAACACTTTATCAAAGTTTTAATAATATCGGATGCATGTGCAAATTTTGAGAAGCAATTTCCAAGGCAATGGCGTTTGAAGCAGACGATTTTTGCTCGCAGCGGAGATGGGCTTTTCGGGTTGGCCGGAGCGGGTCACGTGAATGGTGTGACGTCGCCGTGTCGTCTGCTGCATGATGCCGCTCAGGCAATTTTTAAAAAAAAGTTACGTCCTTGTATGGCACAAAACTTATCGCATATTATTCTAAAATGTTTCATTATTATGTCAAAAATGATTTCCATTCTGCACATCCCCACAAAACTGAAGAAACAACGATTTTCTCACGTTCTCCATGCATTTCTGACCGCAGTTGGAACCTCCGGGCGTTCGCCGCTTGTCGCCGAGAGACGGCGTTCTAGATTGCGCTACTCTGCTCCGAAGGAGCTATATAGTGCTCTAGCCAGAATCACCTGCGCGCGCTCAGTGTACTCAACATTTACTCAACCGCCGCTGAAGTCATTCGGATATGTAAAAAGAAAAAAGAAAATGCATCAGCGTGTTCAGAAAGTTGTGATTGCAGAAATTGTTTTCGATAATTAATACAATTAATTAAACAGGCTTCTGTATACTTAAAGTGTAGGCTAGCGAGAAAACGAAACTGATCAAAATGTGACGTGTAGCGACTATTCCAATTTATTCATAACCTGCAGTTCACTTTTGCAATAAATAACATTAGAGATACGAGCGCTTTCCCAAGGGCAGTAGAGGAAAATAATATATACGCGTAAACCTTCCACAGTCTTTTCGTATTTATGCAAAATATGACAGTGGTCACCATCCTAATTGGTCACAGAAAATACAGCAGTATATAAGGTGGCGGTGTCGACTAGAGGTGTGTATAGGAATGTAGAGTGTCAATATCTCATGTAGCATGTAGTACCTTGTGATGTGTCTGAACGTGTTTCTGTGTAGAATGCTATGGTGTCTGTATGTCGCGTATGTGTGAAGTGTGTAGTAGAATATGTATACATACGTGAATGTCTGGCGAGGCGCTGAACATAAAATCTGTTGGCTTCGTTTTTTTTTTCTAGTTTGAGCCCTGTTCGTTAGGTGGCGCGTGGCGTCGCCCAATTCAAGGAGTCGCGCGTTTATGTGTCTACTTATTTGAGTGAAAAACATGGAGGCGTTCCATGGCTCAACGAAGCAGCCCCAAAGGGTTCGGTGGTTCGGTTCTCAGCCTCTCGTCCCAGTGGGATCAGTCTCATAGCCAGTTGAATGGGTGTTCCGTGCGGTGAATAGCGCTAAGTGCGTGCACAAACGCGGTGAGGATTACCAGGGACTTGGAAGTGGATAAGGAATGCTAACAGGTGAGCAGGAGCATTGAACGATCGGAACCGACGCCGCTTAAATCGGTGATGCTTCGCCTCGCCGCTGTCAACCGAAACCGCCGGATCACTTGCGGCAAGCACAGCAAGGAGACGCTCTGTTCAATAAAGATATCATTCCAGTTGTCGCTATACGATTCCTTTCTTGAATGTTTTCTGGTCGCGAAGTAAATGCAGCCGGCCGCGCGAAAGCAGTCGCGGACACCCCCTCAAATGCCTGCCTGCCTGTCCCCCCCCCCCCCCCCCCCCCCCTTTCCTTTCACATCGTCGCCTCTACTCGTAATACGTGCGGTGCCCGTGGTTCGAGGCGCGTTTTGGAGTGCTTCAGTGCGCACGGAAGGCCGCGAACGGGCGCACGCACTTGAGAATCGTATTTTAGCAAAAAGCAGTCCAGCTCGCTAGGCCTTACTCGTACTGCTCCACCGTCGCTTGCCAGCCGCCATGTTGCTTTTGGGGGTGCTCACTGTGGCAACCTGTTGGTTGCGTGCCGTGTGATTACCCGTGGGGTTGTTAGTATAACGAAGGTGGGGTAGCGATATCTGTGATGGCTTCTGACGACCCCAAAGTTAGTACCCCACGACAACCCTTTTGTTGAGAGTGTAGCCAAGCCTAGCCGAGTTCTTGTTGTGGTGGAGCTTCGGTCGGGTCCTCGGTGTGGGGCAGGTCGACTTGGGCGGAAAACATCGGTTGTCCGGCTTGCGCTTGCACGTCCGGCCCAGCTCGCCTCTCCCTCTTCCACAGCCGCCAGGAAATCTCCCACCACTGCTCTAGTCGGCGCTTGGTGGTCTCGACGTGTTCCTCGCCGTCATCCCCCCGCTCCGCCGTCCGGAAGCCCAGCGCGTCCGGCAGATGGTCCACCTGGGGGCACGGGCTGAGGGCCTTGCACTGCAGCACCAGATGTTCGGTTGTCTCCTCTGCTGCTCCGCAGGCGACGCAGGCGATTGGGGCTCCAGCGTCATATCGCGATCTCCACAGCCTGGTCTTGAGGGTCCCCGTTCGTGCCTCGAAAAGCAAGCCGCTGCCCCTGGAGTCATCATACAGCTGCTCCCGCTCGATCGCCCGCTTCGAGGCCGCATACACAGTCATTGATGGTTTTCGTGTGGCCGACTCCGTCCACCTTCGCGTCTCGACCTGCCGCACGTGCTTCTTGAGGTCCGCAACTCCCTCTCGGAGCGGCCGGCCGTCCAGCAGGGTCGGTGGTACCTCATACTTCCCCGCGAGCCTGGCCACCCGTTTGGTCAGGCGCGTGTTTACACTCCTGTACACGAGGTACTTAAACACCCTCCTGGCCCATCGCTCCTCTCCGAGGCCGCAAAGACGCCTCTCGTAAGACAGCTTAGCCACCGCTTCCCTCGACTCAAAAGCAGACCATCCGAGGTCCCCCTGCACCCCTTCATTTGGAGTCCCCCTGTGTGCCCCGAGTGCCATCCGTCCCGCCTCCCGCTGTCTAACCTCTAGGAACTCCCGAGTCTGAGACGACGTGCGCAGCACCCGATTCGCAAAAGTCAGTCCGGGCACCATCACCATCTTCCACAGGCTACGAGCAACCTCGTAGCGGTCGAAAGCCCACATGGACGTTGCTGCCAGCACTCCCTTTCCCCTCATGGCCTTTGCTCGGACAGCCGATTCATGTGCTTGGATGTAGTTCCTACCCGTGGACAGGTGCACACCCAAGTACTTGTAGTCCGTGACACACTGCACAGTCTCCCCCTGCAGTACAAGCGGTGTGTCCAAAGCCCCCTCTACATTCTCTGTTGGCCCCCACTTCAGCACTTTGCACTTACGGGAGCTGAACTTTAGGCCCAGTCTGTCCCCTTGTTTTGTGCATATGTCCAGCAGCTGTTGCATCTCTTCACAGGTGCCCGCTGTCAGCACCAGATCATCCGCATAAAATAGTCCTGGAAGATGTTGTCTCACCATTTGCCCATTTTCCATGTAAGACAGGTTGAGGCCTCTCCCACACTCCTCCAGTTCTGTCTCCCATCTAGACATATATAACATGAACAGGAGAGGGGAAAGGGGACATCCTTGTCGCAAGCCTCTTGTCACTGGGATTGGTTGAGTGTTCATGCCCTCCCATTCCACCACAACCGTTGTGTCCCTGTACAGCTCCTGGAGGAGCTCAAGCACTGAACCTGGCACTCCAATCTGTGTCAGTTCCCACCAGAGCCTTGAGTGGGAGATTGAATCATAGGCCTTTTCAATGTCCAAGAAAGCCGCCCATAGGTGTCTCCCCTCCTGTTGTACAATCTCAATTGCTTGGGTCAGCACATACAGGTTGTCCTCGAGCTGTCGGCCACTCCTGAAGCCGTTCTGGAGTTCGCCCAGTACATGTTTCTGCTCTGCCCAGCCTTGCAGTCTGCGTCTTATGACTTGCATGCCTACCCTATACATAGTGGAGGTCACAGTAATGGGCCGGTAGTTTGTCAGGTCTGTCTTCTCTCCCATTCCCTTATATATGAGCTTCACTCTCCCGTGCCTCCAATCTTCAGGTACGTCTCTGCCGTGTAGGACACCTCGAAGTGCACCTTGTAGGGCTTCCTTCATCTTGGGTCCCAATTTCTTCAAGACGCACATCGGCACCCTGTCCGGCCCCATGGCTGTGCCCGCTTGCATGTTCTGAAGGACTCTGTGCATTTCCACTTTCGATGGTTCTTCCAGCAAGTCAGAGTCTTCCGGGGTCTCTTCCCACGTGTTGTTGCTCTGCCTTTGTGCTGACCCTCCTGTGCTAGGTGTAATTTCATATCGTGGATCCCCTGGGTGTGCCTCCTCTTGGAGCAGTTTGGCCACAGTCTGTGACACCAAGCTGAGACACTCCTCGTCCTTGACGATTTCCAGGGTCAGTGGACTCTTCAGGTGTTGTAATGCTGTTGTTGGCCTTCCTAGGCGTTTCATATGCCTCCAGAATTTCCTGGGTGCTGCTCTTCCGCTTCGCTTTAAGTCCTGCAGTGTATGCTTCCCCACTGCCCTTCTTCTCCTTTGGACCACTTGTTTGCACTTTAGCTTGGCTTCTCTGTACTTCTCCCAAGTTCCTCTTTCACTTTCCCCTCTCTCGCTGCCCGATGACACCTGCAGGCCTCTTGGCGAATGTTGATGGCTTGTCTGATTTCCGGGTGCCACCAGCTTTTTAATTCCCTTCTCGTTGACATGCCCTTGCCTTTCTTCATCTTCTTAATTTCCATGCTAATGCAATTCACAATGCTCTCATAGGTCATGTCTCTGTTTGCCACCTTTTCTCAGACGCCGGAGGCGAAACCGAAACTAAACGTGTGGCGAAACCGAAACTAGACGTGCGATGTCCACAAGGTAAACACACCAAGGGGTGTCCGATCGTCACACGTTTATATCCATGCACACACACGCACACACACACACACGCACGCCCGCACGCACACACACACACATTATATATATATATATATATATATATATATATATATATATATATATATATATATATCCAGGCAGCACACAATATTGGAACGATATTCGCCTCGGGTCGGGAAAGTCGTGGGAGTATTGCCGATTTTTCCTTTGTATCGGGAAAATTGTACTGGTACCATTTTGATTCTGTCGATGTTGACGGAATATTTGTTATATTGCGGCGACACGACCAGGATCTATATGGTACCCGAGCCGGGTTTTTCCCTGAATACCATTTCTGAATCGGCAATAACTGCGCAGTATTAGGCATTTTCGGCCGATTCGAAAATGATATTGAAAGAAAGCCGGGACCATTTTGACACGGCCGATGTCACCAGAATATATATTGTATTGATCCGACGCAAACCGGGTAACCACGATTGCCACGAATATTTTTATTTTTATTTCTCCCAAAAAGATAACTTCGAAAGGGAGAGGAGAGAGACGTGACGACACGAGTGAGAGAGGAGGCATAGTAAGAGGGAGAATGAACCCAACCTTGTTAGTTCAACGAATTCCAAAACTATAGACCTTTCCTGTGTACTCTCGTCTCCAGCCACCTAATAGCCGTATCCGGTATGGGCGACGAAAAAATAATCCAACGTTTCAACCTGCAAATGGTAAAAAAATAAAGGGGAGGCAAAACGAGAAAGTGTGACGTTTACGCTTATATCCTAAATTCCTTCTATTAGCGTGGCAAAGGCAAAACAATGTTTTCGCCCATACTGGAAGTGACGTCAATTCAAGATGGCGGCGCACTTGCAGAAAAGGCCTCACGTGACCAGACTCGCAGGCGCCTTGGAAAGAAAACTTGGAATGGGAGAGGGAGAGAGAGAGTTGTGACGTACCCGTCTTTGGTTAATCCTTCGAAATAGCTAGGGCGCTCGGGCACAAAGCAAGATCCGGTTAGGTGCGCGCGCGCGGGTGTGTGTGTGTGTGTGTGTGTGTGTGTGTGTGTGTGTGTGTGTGTGTGTGTGTGTGTGTGTGTGTGTGTGTGTGTGTGTGTGTGTGTGTGTGTGTGTGTGTGTGTGTGTGTGTGTGTGTGTGTGTGTGTGTGTGTGTGTGTGTGTGTGTGTGTGTGTGTGTGTGTGTGTGTGTGTGTGTGTGTGTGTGTGTGTGTGTGTGTGTGTGTGTGTGTGTGTGTGTGTGTGTGTGTGTGTGTGTGTGTGTGTGTGTGTGTGTGTGTGTGTGTGTGTGTGTGTGTGTGTGTGTGTGTGTGTGTGTGTGTGTGTGTGTGTGTGTGTGTGTGTGTGTGTGTGTGTGTGTGTGTGTGTGTGTGTGTGTGTGTGTGTGTGTGTGTGTGTGTGTGTGTGTGTGTGTGTGTGTGTGTGTGTGTGTGTGTGTGTGTGTGTGTGTGTGTGTGTGTGTGTGTGTGTGTGTGTGTGTGTGTGTGTGTGTGTGTGTGTGTGTGTGTGTGTGTGTGTGTGTGTGTGTGTGTGTGTGTGTGTGTGTGTGTGTGTGTGTGTGTGTGTGTGTGTGTGTGTGTGTGTGTGTGTGTGTGTGTGTGTGTGTGTGTGTGTGTGTGTGTGTGTGTGTGTGTGTGTGTGTGTGTGTGTGTGTGTGTGTGTGTGTTTCAAGAAGCGAGATGCAACGGGCAGTGACTCATGGCGATCGCGACATGCTTCGGAGAAGGCGCCCCCTCGCCCCCTTTTTGGACGTGGCAATCTGCTGGCCTCCTCCCCCTCACCACGAGCAAGAGGACGACCAAGTTGCCCAAGCAAACAGGGTTGCCAGGTTGGGCCATATATAGCCAAATTGGGCTAGTTTTATTTGCAGTTGGCGGGAAAAAATGGTAGTTGGCTATTTGGCTAGTATTGGGCTATTTCTAACCTGTGCATTGGGCTATTTCTGACCTGTGCATTGGGCTATTTCTGACCTGTGCATTGGGCTATTTCTGACCTGTGCATTGGGCAATTTCTGACCTGTGCATTGGGCTATTTCTGACCTGTGCATTGGGCAATTTCTGACCTGTGCTGGAACCAAAATGCCTGAAAGCACTTGGGTTTATAGGTTCGAATGTATTTTTAGAGTAAGTTACGTGAACATTTGGTACTTCAGTCCCTTAACCCTGATAAGTTTGCGACCTTACAGCAAAGTGACGGCGCGATTCCTTGCGGCCTTAACAGCACCTGTTCTGCGCATTCTTTAGGTTGTCTGAATTCTGCATAGTTCTCCCGTGACGTCATTCTGGTCACCCGTCCCAATACAGTGGAAGGTATGCTGTCATGGGCTTGTACGAGCGTTTGAGGAAGTTCGCCGAACGTGCAAGGGACGCCATTTCTGGGGCATTTGATGGATAAAAATGTATTATGTGTCTTTTCTGCTCAAAATAAACGTTTCAAATGATAAGTTTTTTTGGGGGGCTATTTTTGGGCTATCTTTCTGAATCGACATTTGGCTATTTTTGGGCTAGATCTCGTAGACGTTTGGCGGGTTGGAGTTCAAACACCTGGCAACCCTGCAAGCAAAGGGAAACAGGCGAAGGACATTCCAGTAGAGCCTCCTACTGGAAAGATCTCAAGTTCTCTACACCTTTTCTGCGGTGGAAATGGACGACCCCGGAGGGGAACAAAAAGGAAGGAAGAACGGGGCCAGGGGCTGGGCGTACGGGACGGTGCGGAAACCAGGAGGCGGATTTTTCCTCGGACGGGACGGGACGGCCTAGAGGCGGCCAGACATCGACGGACAAAGGGGATGTTGAGAAAAGGCTGATTTCCAACGCCGTGCGAACTCGACCCGGCTTCTCCAAGACGACCAGATCTGCGAGTGCTTGCCAAGTTCCCCGCAGACAACAATCACCGAGCTGTGAGTCAGCCACAAGACTTTAGCGCGAAAATACTTTTCCATGAACTTTGCGGCGCCATTTTTATTGTAGTGTACTGTGAGTGTCTTGTATGTTTGGTTGCATGAAGGATTTATGAACATCTTGCCTTTTCGTTGTAATCGCTGGCTTGGGTCCATTCACGGTCGCGACGAAGCCTGGTAGCTTTGTGGCTCAAGACCTTACGGGGGTCGTCACACAGTGTTGGACGGTCTTCTTTTCTCCTGATCACGTGTTGTTTACAAGTTTCGCCCGCACGCTGACTAACTTGAACTAGCAGTCTTCTTTTGTGTTAGGTCCCCGACGCGCCAGTATCGGCGCTTGGCGCTCTCGTGTGTGGTTGGTTTGGGACTTGTTTCCTCCTTCCCGCAGTTTTTTCGTCGTCACCACAGTCT